GGCTGCCACTCAAGGTGCTATCTGCTCAGGGGAACTAACATTCACACACACTCAAACACTGTCGGCCATGTTTGTTTAAGTATCTTGTTCAAAGACACTTGTTGACTGCAGGGGCTGAGGATCCCAACACGGACTTCCCAAATGGTGGACGACCGCTCTACTTCCTAATGATTCCAAAACTACAAATAATGTAATATGGCGCATGACAATCACTGCTGAGTTATCAGTAATTGTATGACTTTTTTAAACAGTAATGGGTAATGAGTAATTGGTTAAAGTTTTCAAATAACATGTAACCTGCCCAACACTGGTGAGCACAGTCATTACTTCAATTAGAGTAACATTTCTGATTGTGTTGTTCCTAGACTCTACTTCTAATAAAATGAGCATCTCAAGTCTGATTGACTTTTGATTCACTCCAGAATTAGATTTCCTTACATGGCTTCATGTAGAGCTGATAATGCAGTATGACATCATCAAGCATTGATTGGTTCATTTGTGATTAAATGTATAGGAACTAAAAGACATCACTTATTTGTTTCCTTGTTCCAGAGCCAATATACCATACAACTGGTGTGAAGGTAACATCAAAAGTTTAGATACCTCAGCTCCTTCTGCATCGATTTGTGATTCCTTTTATCTATTTATTTTTTCTAGCACTCACAAGTCTCCAACCAGGAGGAGTATTACACATGTGCTAACAGGGCAACGGTCTGTCAGCTACAGAAATTAATGTATTCCCTGAAGGGCATTAGGAGCTAAATGTTAACTATCACTGTGTGTTTTGAGAGCGGTGTTAGTGTTTGAGAGAGACATAGTCAGTGAGAGAGGACTAACAGACATAATGAGCTTGATTTGTGAATTCATCAGTCCCATCAGCCCCTCCGCCCAAGACGGCGGCCCCTCAGGCTTCTTAGGAAACCATAAACAAAAGCATATCTACGTCAAACATCAGAGTCCCCGCTGACGAAGAGATGCCGCAGGTCTTCATCCTGTCGTGTTAGTCAGGCCATTCATCACAGTGTCAGCGGGAGTCGGGGGGGCTGTAACAGAGGCCTGCTCCGTCCCAATGTACAGTATGTCAGTATCCAAGTGCTACTGCAGCTCATCATCCTGTAATTATCAGCTGTGTGATTTGTACCCGTCGAAGGACAAGTGAGTGGTAACCTATTCAATAACTCATTGACTGCATTTGGTGGGCTAAATTAGATTTATATCCCATTAAAGACAGAAGAGCGGCATCACTGAGAGTGACCACTTCTCCCCCTCTCCATTCATCTCTCTCACTTCTGCTTCCCATTACAAATATTAATCAATCCCAAAAGGCCGCAGTGAGTCATGAGAACTGATGTCCACCAGACTGGCTCTTTCCAAAGGTGGCAAACCATTCCAACACCGCAAAAGATCACTTTAAGAGAAGACACTAGGAGAATATGGTAAACATTTTAACTGATCGAAATCACCATACAACTTCACTTTTTGTCTGCCAAGGCTTCTGAAATGTAATGTTTAAATGAAGCAATATCTTATTAGATTTTTTCTAATTTGCATACACTTCTTCGACAGGAATCAGTTTTATTTAAACACTTGTCAAATGGTTTTTCCAAAGCGTAATTTAGATCTCTTTTTACTCTATAAATGAAACACTGTCAACATTCTTTTTAAAGGAAATCAATTTTCGCCATGATTCTAGAATTTAAATATTTGATACAGAATATATGAACAACCCCCTCAATAAAAACCTATAGAATATACAAAAGATAGGAATGACAATTTAACATTTGGTGAATGTAAGTGTTAGACATCTGGCTCAGAGTATGAAATAAACCCCATAATGTGTGTTTGGATGTTTTCACTTCTGCCGTGTATGTCTTCTCATCTGTAGTCCTCTCCTCTAACTCTCTAAGAGAGTGCATTCATAAAATAAGCGCCTTACATAACAATAACATATATAAACTGAATGATAAAGATCTCATTAAGAATGTGCAGACAACAGGAGAAAAAAAAAGCACATCTGAACATGGTTGGAAAATGTCTTCAAAAGGCGTTATGGTCATTAATCCTACTGTGCGTACAGCATCTTCTGTTTAACCGATTTACTGACCCGTGGATTCTTTCCTGGCCTTTCCAGCTTCTCCAGGCAGCAGCTCAGACCTCTGGACCGGTCACAGTTTGATAGGTTTGAATTAGACCCTCAGGCATAACCGCTAATTGCATCTAAATGAAAACAAGGAGGGCACTTTGCGAGTCATAACTGACTGGATTTAAATTACATTTGTTTAATTGTAATTCATATCTAGTTCCTAGATATGTCTGTGTATTTGTGTCATCAATTATGGAGCCACAACATATTGTTACACCTGTACAGCAAGACAGTGACGTCAATTACATGTTTTATCCATTATGGTTAGCACAGTTTAAACTTTAAAATAGTTTAATGAGAACATAAATAATAAAGAACTAGGAAAGATCCATTTCAATATTTTGGAAACAAATGAGTGTGTTCTCATCTATTGCAGGCACTTTGAAATTCTGGTAAAGAACCAAAAACAACACGAACAGTAATTAGAGTCCTATTGTGTAACAGCTCAGGCCACCACACACAGACACACACAATCACACACTTCATTAGAAAATGAGCCAAGTCATTATTGTCAAGTCTTGTAGCCCATGACCTTGCCTGCTGTTATCATTTAATCATACTTGTATTTCGTTCAGTTTTAGAATACAGCATCTTTCAAAAATAATGACACGGGTCAATGGATTCTTCAGAATGTAATGAGGACTTCCTGTTGACTTTCATTCTGTTCAGCCATGAACAAACAGTTGTAATGAGGGATAGATTTTGGTATATGTGCAGAGTTTCTATTTCTCTTCTCCTTGATTTTTGGCATCATTATTGTTGTTCATCCAGGAGGTTATGTTTTTGTCTCAGATCTGTTCTTCTGTTTGTTAGCGGGAATACTGGAAAGTTCTGTCCTAATTTTCATGAAACTTATAGGAAAGGTGTACCACGAGCCGAAGTAAAACCCAATCGTTTTTTAAGTTGAACCTCATCAGGTGGTGGATCCAGGAATTATTTTTCACTTTAGTTAATGTGGAATCCTAGTGGTATTAATTCAGGAAATGGGGCTATCGGAGGAGCACTTGAATGCACCATTGACGTTGGCAGAGTTCTGCACTTCCTCAGTGCTGCTCTAGTTTGTACATGAAATATATTTTATTTTGTCTGGCATTGAAAGTATATTCTTAAAATACTGCACCAATGATCTCTTGGGTTTTGGGAGTTCAATCCAAGTGCAGAATTGAGAGATTTTCTAATAAATTGTGCAGTTTTTAAGCAATTTGAAATCTTAGTAGCCATGAGGTAAGTTTACAAAGACAGACAAAAAGACTTCATTACTCTCATCTTGACCCAGAATATTTAGGCTGCTCTGTCATTTATGTTCAATAATAAAACTTTAAAAATCAATGCATTCAATACTGAACGAAACATTTCGACTGTCTGAGGTGTGTTGTGAATATCAAAAAAGAGAGAATAGTTTGCACGGCTTTTGCAACCATTAAACCTGCACTTATAAACGAAGACAAACCGTGTAACTCTCTTAGCACCAGCAAAGGGTGAAATGCTCCCCTAACCGTGCTGACAAGCAAATATCGTCTCGGTTGGCAAAATTGGCCCATTTCTATGCAAATGAGCCTCATTTCTAAAGCAGTCCAATACACAAAGAGGAGCGCCAATAGCCGCATGCAGTAACAGTGGAATAATTAGCGTCTTCAGAGAGTTGGTGGTAACTGAAGCACGTTTATACTGATAAGCTGACAGATAGCGGTTGCAAGTGATGGGAAGCCACAATTTGTAGCAGTGCTTTGCAGCTAATTGCTGATGTCAGCAGGAAAGCCTACTCGCAACAAAATAATATGCTTAACAAGTATAATCTTCGCAATGTTTGTGATCTTAGTTTAGCTCACAAGTGCTTAGTATTACTGCACACAAAGTACAGCTGAGGATGATGGGAAGCTTTGCAGGTACTTGGTTATGAACCAAAGTATTGGACTAGTGAAGATAGCGGAAGAATCTGAGGATCACCAAAAGTATTACAATTCACCTTGAGTGTATGAATGTCTGTAATAATAGTCGAAGTAACAAATGCCGTGATGGTGCTAGAGATAACTGTAGATAAACTACGTAGTCACTGCGATGTCACACATTGGTTTGTGGACTGCAGAGTTAAAGTTCGAGTTTGGGGTTTTAGGCATCACCATCTTGGTTGTTGGATCAAGCAGTCACACAGAGGGGGCGGGGCTACTTGCAACAAAAAGCTCAACAACATTATGGTGACTTACACATTACAAATACCTTTCATGCAGTGAAATTACAGAATCAGAGGGCCAAAGTTTAAAGGGAAACACTAAACACAACCTGTCAATCACAAGATTACCCAGCTTTATTGTTTAGTAAACTCTGAATGTGCCAAAAATGTATTAAGTGAATATTATTCTGTATTGAGGAACTTGAAACAAGCGGTTTGGACAGTAATGATTATGTTTACTCAGGTAAAAAATGAAGAAAGAAGCTATTTTGACTACAAAAATGAAGTCACCTTCATTCACATTTTTGTCACTTACACATTGGCTTCACTTTTGAAAAACTGAGGTTGTCGCCTGAGATCAACAGAGTCATTAGGACTCATCTTCTGGACACCATGAATTTCATTGCAATCCATCCTATACATTTTTTAAGTGGTTTGAACATAGTTTAAACTTTCCTAACTTTATTAATACCTCAAAACTATATGAATGTTGGGACGATTTGCCCCACAGACTGCATCGATCCTGTCATTATACACACTGCAGTGTCTGCTGAGCCTCGGGCAGAACAGCTCTAACACTCTGACGAATTGTTTTGTGTTTCTGTACTTATTTACACAACCCAATTTGGTTTCCTGCCATTCTGTTGGCCATTTCTGCAACAGCTATAGGCTACTCTCAAAATACAGCAGAAGATAAAACAAGCTTTTGTTTCTCTCTCTCTCTCTGTTCTTGCAGATAGCTTGTCGCCTCCTGTCAATGTGACCATCAGCGCAGTGAAAGCCAACTCTGCTGTGGTGACATGGGACATCCCAGAGGGAGACCCCGTTATTGGCTTTGCCATCACACAGCAGGTGAGCAACAGAGACTGGCTATAGGCTACTGTATGTCAATGTGCCAACAGGGGGGATACACTATGCAAACACACACATACTCATTGAATTATTTTCTGGTTGTTTGCTGCCATGTGCAATTCTCTGTACCCAGTTGTTCTCTTGAGTCAGTGTGCTTTGTTTGAATTATCACATACCGCTGGTTTCTGTCGGACTGCCTGTGTGTTCTCTGACAACAACAGACTATGACAGCTCTGTGACGTTAGCGTTATAAGTGATGTTATTCGCTGCAATCGTGCTCACACAAAAACGTAATCAGGTTCATGTACAGACAAGACATGTTGGTGTGACGTTAATGCCGAGGACAACATAGTTTGCAGAGGAAGGTAATACAATGTAAAAATTCGATACAAATACAGGTCATTATGTGCTTTCCAAAAACAGACAATTAATATAGCAACAGAAATATACATCTGCATGTATTGTGATCGTTATTGATACATTATTCAGTTTGTTTTTCTCTCCTGGATAACGTCCTATGACTGTGAAAATGTTTTATATTCTTTATTGACATTTTGTGAAATATGCTTTATTTCAAACAATAAACAACAAGGAAAATGGAAGCTGCTCTTGAGTTTGTCTATTAAACATGAAGTTGTTGCCACGAGACGGTTGGCTTACCTTAGCATAAAGAATTAAAGTAGGGGAAAACAGCCAGCCTGGCTCTGTTCAAATTCAAATGGTCAAAACATACACATACCAAGAATTGTAGCCAAACCTGGTTATACTGTATATATATTGGTATATACAGCTGCTAGCTGTTCCCCCCAGCCTTGATGCTAAGCTAAACAAAGCTAACCAACTCCTTGCTCCAGCTTCATATTTACCCTATCAGAGTGGTATTAACTCTGTAAGATTTTTTGCTTTGAAAGTGAGGTTTTTATGTATGATGGTGTGAATGCGGCAGCATCAATGCTCTCAGTATCCAAAGTATCTTGTTATGTGTATTTATTTTCCGTCATTTCGCCACAATTCATACGAGACGACCTGTTGAGTAGACCAAGTTCATATAAACTCTGCCCTTCAGTTAGCCTAACCATAACCCTGTACATGATGGGGGCACCCTTTTTTGTTTTCATGAGTGGCTTTAAGTGAGTCATCCTACACCACTGCTACACAAAGCATTCGTCCTGCTGCCTTAAACAATATTCACCATTCGTCTCCCTGTCATACTCCAACAGAAGAAAGACGTGCGCATGCTGCGATTCATCCAGGAAGTCAACACCACCACACGCTCCTGTGCATTATGGGACTTGGAGGAAGAGACAGACTACATTGTGCATGTCCAGTCCATCAGCATGTCTGGGTCGAGCCCGCTGAGCGAACCCCTTCGCTTCCGAACGCCCAAGGAGGCCGAGACCCAGGCCTCTAAGAGTAAAGGTAAAGTGGCACACACCAATGCCCTTCATCAAACACACACATACTTAAAAGGGAAACAAGTGTGAGCTTCCTCTCTCTGTGTCCGTCCCTTTTCAAGACAGCAAGTGCAGAGGGGACTTGGCCTTTTGACAATATCTTTACTGATTTTGTCTAATGAGCAATATAAATCAATAGACACGCAAAGCGTAAAATGAAATGTCACAACAGAGTGCTCCCGAAACTCGCATCTGCCGACCACAATTCAGGAATAAAGCTGCAGAGGGAGGTCCATACTTCACTGTGTATTGACGTGCCTCTGCAGGCCTCACCCTGCATGCACATAGCACAACTGCACAGTAAACTAAAATGAGGAAAGGCATTTATCAGACACAGAGAGGAGGCAGTCGGATCTGCGTGGGGTGGCAAATCAATGTGCTTTTGGCTGAACCCTGCTCCATCTAGTCTTCCTCTCATTTACACTCATCTCTCATGTGAGCCATACTTCGATACTTCCCGGAAAGAGTCTGAACTTCTGTTATGGTCGACAGATGTCTGGCACTGCAGGAGACATGTAGAATATAAATACAATCAATGCAGAGCACTGATCAGTTCAGTTCACCACTGAGGCCTAAT